GGATAATTGAAGTTTAGTGAAAACTTTTGTTTGTCACTATTAGTAAATATTCTTTCTGTGCCTTTACTTTCTTTCTTACTCTTACTTAAACAACATCCTAGTTTGTAAAGAAAAAAATTGAATAAAAACTGTTTAGTAAACTTTAATATCATTAGTAATAAGTTTTCATATTAAATATAATAGTATGAAGATTAAGAATTAATGCAATTTAGAAGGACAAAAGTTAGTAAGTTATGATAGTTTTTATGAGTATGAGTTATCTTTTGGAATTGTAAAAGTCATTGGGTCTATATAAGGACCAATAGTATATTTTATTTAACAAGCAATAAGCAAAAAGGTTTGTCTCTTTCTCAAAATAAATCACATAATGAAGTCTGCTTCTTTATATCAATTTGGCACCAGAGCTCATGGCAAACATGATGAATCAAATGTTGTTGCCACGACTAACGAAGTCAAATTATGAAAACTGGAGTATCTAAATGAAAGCTCTTCTTGGATCTCTAGACGCGTGGGATGTGACCCATGAAGGATTTGAAGAACCAACAGAAGTTAGGGGATATACGGCAGCTCAAACAAAGGCGTTGAAAGAGACGCGATCGAAGGACAAAACGGCATTATACATGTTGTTCAGGACTGTAGATGAATCAGGCTTCGAAAAAATTGCTGGTTCGACTACGTCGAAACAAGCGTGGGACACGTTAGAAAGAGTGTCCAAAGGAGCAGATCGAGTGAAACAAGTTTGACTCCAAACTCTTTCTGGCGAATTGGAGAGGATACAGATGAAGAATACATAAATTGTATCTGACTATATCACACGTGTGCAAAAGGTGGTGAATCAACTCACCAGAAATGGAGAGACGGTAATGGATGCACGAGTTGTTGAAAAGATCTTGAGATCTTTAACAGACAAGCTGAGAATATTGTGTGTGAAATAGAAGAGTCGAAGGACCTTTCGACGCTCTCAGTCGAAGAGCTCGCTGGTTCTCTCGAAGCACATGAATAACGAAAGATGAAAAAGAAAGAAGAAGCAGTCAAAGAAGCAAATCAAACCAAGGAATCGAACAAAGACGAAAAGGTACTCTTTTCTCAAAACTTTCGAGGAAGAGGACGTGGACGTGGAGGTCGTGACAGTGGTCGAAGTGGTAGAGGTAGAAACTTCGAAAGAGGACAATCGAGCCAAAAAAATTGGCGTGGCAGAGGACGTGGTCAAACAGGTGGTCGTTCGAATCATTCCAACTTCGAATGCTACAAGTGTGGGAAGTATGGTCATTACGCGAAGGATTGCAACTCCTACAAATGTTACAACTGTGACAAAGTGGGACATCTTGCAAAAGAGTGTCAAATCAAAAAGAAGATTGAAGAAACAACCAACCTAGCCTGTCGAATCAAAACGAAATCAACACCAATAATGACAATGTTTGGTATCTTGACTCGGGAGCAAGTAATCACATGTGTGGTTACAAACACCTGTTTAAAGATATGAAGAGAATTGAAGATGGTAATGTGTCTTTTGGAGATGCATCGAAAGTGAAGGTCGAAGGAAAGGGCACAATCAGTTACTTGCAGAAGGATTGCTTGATTGGATCAATAGAAGACGTTTACTATGTACCAGATCTCAAGATCAACATATTGAGTCTGGGACAACTTACAGAAAAAGGTGCTTCGATACTTATGAAATGATCGAACACTGCATTTGAAGGACAAAGTAGGACATCTGATTTTCCCGTGTCGAAATGGAAAGAAATCGAATGTACAAACTGAACCTGAGGAACGTTCGAGAGAAATGTCTACAAATTGAAGTGCAAGACAAAGCGCCACTATGGCATATGCGCTTTGGTCATCTATATCATGCTGATTTGAGAAGGTTGGCGAAAAGGAACATGGTGCATGGACTACCAGACATGGATTTCGAAGGAAAGTTCTGTGAAAAATGTGTGCTCAGCAAACAAACAAGAACCTCATTTCAAAAGAAGGCAGAGTATCAAGCTAAACATATTCTCGAATTGATACATACTGACATATGTGGGTAAATCACTCCAGAATCCTTCAGTGGAAAAAGGTACTTCATTTCTTTTATTGATGACTTCTCAAGAAAAACTTGGGTTTACTTCCTGAAAGAAAAATCTGAAGCATTAGAGGTGTTCAAAAAGTTCAAAGTAATGGTGGAGAAGGCAACAGACAGACACATCAAAGCAATTCGATCTGACAGAGGAGGTGAGTATACTTCGATGGCCTTTATGAAGTACTGTGAAGAACAGGGCATAAGGAGATTGCTAATTGCACCATATTCACCTCAGCAAAATGGTGTGGCTGAAAGGAAGAATCGAACTATTCTTGACATGATTCGATCAATGCTCAAAAGCAAGAACATGTCGAAAGAATTCTGGGCAGAAACAGTACAATGTGTTGTTTATGTTCAGAATAGATGTCCACATTCGAAGTTAGAAGACAAAACACCACAAGAAGCATGGAGTGGACAGAAGCCAACAGTTTCTCATCTCAAGGTATTTGGTAGTATAGCTTATGCACATGTACCAGATCAACAAAGAACAAAGCTTGAAGACAAAAGTCAGAAGTACATATTCATTGGATATGATGAAAAGACGAAAGGGTACAAGCTCTTCGATCCCAGAAGCAAGCAAGTGGGACTAGAACAATTCGACAGAGGTTATTGACGCAGTCGAAGAAACAACTATAGCTGTACCAACAAGTATTCCAACAGAACATGAAGAAACTGAAGATGAAGATGAACCTCTACAACCCAGAATGAGAAGTTTGCAAGATTTGTATGATTATACAAGTGAGGTACATCTTGTGTGTCTTCTGGAAGATGCTGAAAACATCAGTGTCGAAGAAGCGTTACGAGACAAGAAGTGGAAAAGTTCCATGGACGAAGAGATTAGAGCAATCAAACGCAACAATACTTGGGAGCTAGTCGAATTGCCAAAAGGTAGTCAACCCATTGGTGTAAAGTGGGTATTCAAGAGAAAGATGAATGATCAACGAGAAATCGAAAGATTTAAAGCACGACTGATTGCAAAGGGATACAAACAGAAAGCAGGAATTGACTATGATGAAGTATTTGCGCCTGTTATAAGAATGGAGACAATTCGATTACTCATCTCTCAAGCTGCTCAATTCAAATGGCCAATATTTCAAATGGATGTCAAGACATCATTTTTGAATGGTGTGCTCGAAGAAGAAATCTATGTCGAACAACCACATGGATATATGAGAATTGGAGAAGAGAAGAAGGTGTTGAAACTGAAGAAATCGTTGTATGGGCTGAAGCAAGCACCTAGGGCATGGAACACACGCATTGACACTTATTTCAAAGAGAATGGATTCGAGAAATGTCCTTATGAACCTGCCTTCTATGTGAAGAAAAATGGAAGTAATGTATTACTTGTTGCTCTCTATGTTGATGACCTTATCTTTCTAGGCAGTGATGTTCAGATGATCGAAGATTTCAAGAGCACCATGATAAGCGAATTCGAAATGACAGACTTAGGTCTGATGAGATTCTTTCTTGGTCTGGAGGTTCGACAAGAAGAAGCTGGAATCTTTATCTCACAAGAAAAATATGCAAAGGAAATCCTAGAAAAATATAAAATGAAGAATTGCAATCCAACTTCGACGCTAATGGAACCAGGTGCAAAACTATCAAAGTTTGATGGAGGAGAACGGGTTGAAGGAAGAAAATATCGAAGCTTGGTAAGTAGCCTTCTATATCTCACATGCACAAGGCCAGACATTTCACTAAGTGTTGGCATTGTAATTCGATTCATGGAGGAGCCAGTACACACACATTGGAAGACACTGAAACGAATTCTAAGATACATTCAAGGAACAATATCACTTGGAATGTTTTATTCAAAAACAGAAGACTACAAGTTAGTTGGTTATTCTGACAGTGACTGGTGCACAGACATAGACGATCGAAAGAGCACTTCTGGATATGTGTTTTTCATGGGAAACACAGTATTTACTTGGCTATCAAAGAAGAAACCTATAGTAACACTTTCGACGTGTGAAGCTGAATATGTGGCAGCATCCTGGTGCGTCTGTCATGCAGTATGGCTCAGAAGATTGATAAGCAAGATGGAGCTAAAACAAGAAGGTCCAACAATAATACAAGTGGATAATAAATCAGCTATCGAATTGGAAAAGAATCCAGTGAATCATGAACGAAGCAAACACATTGATGTTCGATTTCACTTCATTCGTGAACATGTGAAGGAGGGAAGTGTCGAATTGAGGCATGTTGCAAGCAAAAAACCAAGCAGCGGATATTTTCACAAAACCACTATCAAAATAGATCATCGACAGAGGCAAGAAGATGATAGGAATGCTGGATGGAAGAAACATTTAAGTTTACAGAGGAGTTTTGTTGAGTAAACTTTAATGTGATTAGTAATAAGTTTCCATATTAAATATGGTAGTAGGAAGATTAAGAACCAATGTAATTTGGAAGGACAAAAGTTAGTAAGTTATGATAGTTTTTATTAGTAGCAGTTATCTTTTGGAATTGTAAAAGCTATTGGGTCTATATAAGGATCAAGAGTGTATTTTATTTAACAAACAATAAACAAAAAGGTTTGCCTCTTTCTCAAAATAAATCACATAACGAAGTCTGTTTCTTTATATCAAAAACAAACATAACACATTGATTTACAAATATCAATCACAGTTTTTTTATTAAGTTTTTAAGAATAAGGATTATGGTTCTTATACATGCAAGTTTTTCTCCGTCTGAAATATTTATAGTTTAAATACCTTTGTTTTAACTATTGAATAACAATTTCCTTGATATTTAGATGATTTTAAAAAGCACAACATATTGGCAATTCATATTGTCACAGTTAACAACAAACTAATAGTACTAACTAGTTTTAAATGAAATACATGGATACTACTGAATATATAGTTTATGATATCCTCGCATATCAAACTTTAAAACAAATCACAGCTCAAGAGGCTAATAAATTTGCAAATATGATCTAGATAACACAAGGATGGCCATTAGATGCGGTTACATCTTTGTTGGGTACCCATGCAATAGCCTTATTGCCAATAAAATGACAAATAGGAATAGTTCCAGGTTTGACCTTAAGAACTTGATAAATGATATTAGGATCCATACCTCTTGTATCATGGTGGCAAATAGTTAATGCATTAGATTTAGTTCCATCAGAAGCCACCAATGGAACCATGTAAGTTGTTGTCGCATTTATTTGGTGGCAATAAAATGCCACTTTTTTAAAATTCAGTCTATGGCACATTACTGCTTTGTCGCCAATTTTTTTCACTTCCTCTACTACATATTCGTCATGACTTTGAGAAAAGGAACTTGACATTGCTTTGATATTTTTTCCAAGTTTCGAAATCACATAACTCATCATTGATTCTAAAGAAGGTGCACAATATTTATCTTCCCCGATTGGTGAAGATTTCCCACAATAGTCTTGAAAAATGTGCCTCTCTTCTTCAGTCCATAGGGGTATTGTAGAAGTTTGACTTAATCTTTCATTTTTTTTATCAGTTTCTGTGAGACTTCCAATACCTTTATTTGGTTTACCTGTCCATATAAGAATTCCAAAAGTTTCAATTGGTTTCCTAATTTCATATTCAATTGGTAGGTTTGCTTTTTCACTTGATTTTTTATCCCACCATGTGTTAATTCCAAAAGGTTGATTTGTATTTTCGACAGACACATGTGTCTTTGAATGTTTATGGATGCCTAAACTCATCTTTTTTCCAGGATATAGGTCATGTTCAAAAAAGAGTGTCCAATATTGATTCTTTTCTTGGTCTCTAATAGGCACACTGGTTTTGCTATCTGCACCATCAAAAATCAAACCAAAATCTGCAATTATAATAGTTTTATATATTGCAACAGACCAATTTAAATGAAATCACATATATCAACAAAAGAGTAATATTTACTGGTGTACAAGGAAGATAAAAGGCAAAAGAAATATTTACCGATAGTTTCAAAATAAGGATTTACAATAAATTACAATAACCTACTCCACTAGGCTATTTATACACAAAATTAAATCTAAAAATATATCTTCTACAAAAATCTAAGAAGATCTAAGATATATATCTTCTAACAAAGATATAAACAATCTAAAAAATATTCCTAAATATAAATTAATATCTAATTAAATCTAAATTAATTCTAACACCATCCCTTAATTTATATTTACCCAAAACTGACAACACTAATTTCATCCCTTAAACCAAGAAATTGATCAGTTTTGATAACCTTTGTCAGAACATCTGTCAGCTGCTTCTGAGTGCTACAGTGCACAACCTCTAATATTTCATTCTGAACTTGATTCCTCAGAAAATGATACTTGGTCTCAATATGCTTGCTTCTCCCATGCAACACTGCATTCTTGACAAGATTGATTGCAGACTTGTTATCAATCATCAGCTTCAGAGGTTTATTTACCTCAATCTTCAGATCTTTTAACAAGTTCAGAATCCATACAGTTTGACATGCAGTCAGAGCACATGCAATATATTCAGCTTAACAAGTTGACAGAGCAACAACAGGTTACTTCTTGGAACACCAAGAAATAGGACCTCCCAGAAATTTGAATAAGTATCAAGAAGTACTTCTTTTGTCAACTCTATCTCCACACCAATCAGAATCAGAATAACTCAAAAGTTCTGATTCGATCTTTCTTCTAGACGAAAATAACACTCCATATTTCAGAGTCCCCTTCACATACCTCAGAATCCTGACTGCAGTTTGGTAATGGGACCACTTTGGTTTGCTCATAAATCTGCTAACCATTCCAACTGCATAGCAAATATCAGGTCTGGTATTACACAAATACTTTAGAGAACCAACCATTTGTTTGAAGGTTGTAGCATTCACATTCTCTCCATCAGAATCAGAGTCCAATTTCTGATTCGTATCAGCAGGTGTGATAGCAACCTTGCAATTTTCTAGCTTAAATATATTCAGAAGTTCTAATTCATACTTCATCTGATGTAAAATGATTACTTTCTCATAGTACATAAATTCCATCCCTAGAAAGAAACTCATTTTTCCAAGATCTGTCATCTCAAATACATTCATCAGAACTTTCTTGAACTCAACAATCTCTTATTCAGAACTTCCTGTAAGTAGTATGTCATCAACGTACAAACAGACCAGAATCATATTATCTTATGAAGTGTGCTGAACATAAACACCATACTCCATCTCACACTTCTGAAATCCTTGTTCCTTGAAAAACGAATCAATCTTCAAATTCCAAACTCTGGGCGCTTGCTTCAATCCATACAATGCTTTGTGTAATTTGAACACCATCTCTTCCTGATTCTTTTTCTCAAATCCAGGAGGTTGTGAAACGTACACCTCTTCTTGTAATGTACCACTCATAAATGAAGATTTTACATCTAAATGCATCAGAGGCCAATTCCTGTTAACAGTTATTGCAATCACTAGTCTGATTGTTTCATGTCTCGCTACAGGTGCAAACACTTCAAAGTAATCCAACCCAGGCTTCTGTAGGAAGCCTCTTGCTACTAATCTCGCTTTGTGTTTGCCAATTGATCCATCTGGCTTTAGCTTCTGCTTGAAAACCCATCTGACGCTGATGACTTTCTTGCCTTTTGGAAGTTCTGTCAGCTTCCAAGTCTTGTTTCTCTCTATAGCACCAAGTTCTTCTTTCATGGCCTGTAACCAAACTTGCTGCTTAAGAGCCTCTTTCGTACCCACGGGTTCAGAGTCTACTAACATTTCACAATGAATAACTTCTCCTTCAGAGTTTACTTCAGTGTCTAGCAACATGCCAAACTATGCAAATCTTCTTGGGATGCTTCTGACTCTTTGTTGCCTCTGAACTGGACCTTCAGAACTTTGGACACCCGAACTTTCCCCTTCAGAAGCACTTTCTTCAGCAATTGGACTTTCTCCATAACCTTGACTATCTTCAGAGTCTGGATCACCATCGGAGTCAGAGCCACTACCTTCAGAAATACCATCTTCAAAAGTTGGATCACCTCTGCCTTCAGAAGTTCCACTTTCAGAATCATGATCATCGTCAAAGACTGAATTTCCTTCAGAAGCTCCTCCTTCAGAAGTTCCACTTTCAGAATCATGATTTCTACCAAAAACATGATCATCTTTAGAAGCTTGTCCTCTAGAACATACGTCTTTAGAGTTTTCCCTTATAGAAGCATGATCACCACTAAATTTTGGATCATCCTCAAAATCTGGATCAGAATCAGATTCACCATCTGACTCACCTTCAGAGTTTCCAGAGTCATCATCTTTTGACTCTTCTTCAGAAGCAGAATCTTCTTCAGACTCGGAATCACATTCGGATTCTAACTTGTCTTCAGCTTCAGAGTCATCTTCTGACTCTAACTCATCTTTAGAAACCTCAAATTTTGACTCATCTTAAAAATCTTCAGCGTCATCTGATTCTAACTCAGAGTCATATTCTGATTCTGACTCATACAAAATTACTCCTTCAGAATCAGAATATTAAGAGTCATATTCTTCTTCCCCTTCAGAATCAGAAAATGACAATTTCACTGGTTCCTCATCAGATTCAAAAGCCATAAATAGCACAGATTCATCATCTGAATCTCCTCTGGCTACATTTGCTTCTTCTAACTTCCTTTCTTTGTTTCACCAACAATCTTTGGCATAGTGACCAAAGTCCCTGCAACAATAACACTAAACATTCTTCTTGTCAAACTTCTCCTTTCACCTCCGAACTTTCTTTTGTCTATCAGAGTTTGAAGCTTCTTACCTTTGACCACCATTAGTTTTCTTCCTGGCTTTTAACCAAGTCTGCTTCTGATGCTTCTTACCAGAAGTTACTTTCAGAGCCTGCTGCTCTACTTCCCTCTCAAAAGTTCTTACAGTCATACGCAACTCATTCGCCTCTAGACTACTTTGCAGCTCTTCAACTCTCATGGTGCTCAGATCTTTAGAATGTTCAATTGCTACCACAATGTAATCAAACTGAGAAGTTAAAGATCTCAAGATCTTTTCAATGATTACTTGTTCAGATAGAGTTTCTCCACAAGCTTTCATCTCATTAGTGATCAGAATCACTCTAGAGATGTATTCAGAAACCTTCTCGTTGTCCTTCATGTTGAGATTCTCATATTGCTTTCTGAGAGACTGAAGCTACACCTTCTTCACTGTTGCGTCACCACCGTAACATCTGACAAGTGTGTCCCATGCAGCCTTCGCTGTTTCAGAATCAACAATCTTCTCAAACACATTCGCATTCACACATTGATGGATGTAGAACAACGCCTTTTGATCTCTCTTCCTCAGCACCTTCTGTGCTATCTTCTGGGCCTCTGTTGCATCTGCTTCTAACAGATTATAGCCACTAGTAACAAGTTCTAACACATCTTGAGAACCAAATAACACGCGCATCTGGATCTTCCAACGATTCTAGTTTTTGCCATCAAATACTGGAAGCTTGGAATGAATATCGCCACCTTTTCTGTTCATCTTCTACCTTATGCAATTTACGCAGAGTTTCCCAAATCAATGTTTTCTCAAAAATCCCCCAGAATCAGAATATTGTAATTCTTAATCACAATACTTCTTTTCCCGTAGATTTCGAACCGGAGCTCTAGATACTAATTGTTGGTACACAAGGAAGATAAAAGACAAAAAAAATATTTACTTATAGCTTCAAAATGAGGATTTACAATGAATTACAATAACCTACTCCACTAGGCTATTTATACACAAAATTAAATCTAAAATATATCTTCTACAAAGATCTAAGAAGATCTAAGATATATATCTTCTAACAAAGATATAAACAATCTAAAAGATATTCCTAAATATAAATTAATATCTAATTAAATCTAAATTAATTTTAACAATATTAATCATGATCAAAAACGGTAATTCATATTTACTAACCAGACAATAGTAGATCTAAAAGAGGTCTAGGTATAGGAGTGTTCGGCCAAATAGATTTCCAGTATTCTTCTCCTGATCTAGATCCATTGGTTCCCAGAAAAGTCAACTGTAAAATATACAGTCATGTAATGATGTTTATGTAATATTGATATTATAAAATTATTCATTAAACTCTTACTATTATTAATAGAAATAAAATGGTTTTTTGAAATATAAACAAATATAATAATAAATTTCATTTATGTAACATGTCCTTATTAGATGTCATCCAAGTAATAGATTTTGTCTAACATATGAAATTTTTAAAAATGGTTCAATTGTTTAAAAAACATTATCTCAAAAAGAAGAAAAGCAAACAATTAAGTTGAAGTGGTTAATGAGTATACTTCAACAAAATACGAATTAAATTTAGTTTTGGTTTATGCGTTACAAACTTAATTTAAAGTTTTATCCTACATATTGGAAGGTTATACTTATATAAATAATAGTTATATTTTTAACATATATTTTACTTATATTTTCAAATCGTCCTATTTTTTATTTATTGACAAATTATTACACTTTACACCTTTCAAATAATAATTAAAACCGTACATTAATTAAAATATATTAGTTAATATTTAAACATAAACTCTTCTGGATTAAGTTTTTCATGATCATAAAAAGACACCTTAATAATTCCCAAACATTGAAAGAAAATAATTCATAAAGAACGATGGAATTTTCATAATCACATGAAATATTGGATTGGAAATAAAGATAATTATTTTTAATGGAAATCAGAGACAATTAATCATAATGATCAATCAAAACAGAAAAGAACTTACACAAAATAGAGCTAAAAGAGATAAATGTGTAAACTCCATTAAACCTCTGAAGTGGTAGAAAGTAGAAACCCCTTGAGTGTTTAAGTATGAACTAAGAATTGCTTTATATATATATATATATATATATATATATATATATATATATATATATATATATATATATATATATATATATATATATATATATATATATATATATATATATATATATTATTGTGAAACTATCCGTACATATAAACTATTAAAAAACAATAAGTATACTTAACTACAAAGACTAATGCACATGAAGAAAAAAATATTGTCAGAATTATAATATATTTTACTAAGTTAAATAAAATTATTATTTATTTTGTTATAGTTAAATTGTAATTAATTTAAACATACTCTCAAAAAAATATGACAGCTTCTGATTAACAAACATTTATAATATAGAAAAATAATAATATTATTTATTGTAAATTTTAATTCACAATAATGCAAGTTGTTAAAAGAATAATCAAAATACTTTCATCCTACAATAATAGTAAAAGTTGTGTATCCCACACTAATTTTTAAAATAATATAAATGAAAAATAATAATAATAGTAATTCTTCCATATCAATTTTAATTAGTATTTAGGTATTAACTATTATCATAAATTTAAAATAGTGTAACTAGGTGTATTTTATAACAATTGTTAAAATTATTGTTTTTAAATAAATATGTTTTTATGAATGTTAAGTATATATTAAAACCTTGAAGAACTAAAATTAAGAGATGGACGCAGGGACGGATCTAGAATTTTAAACATGTGGGGTATAGTTCAATTTTTTTTATACAAATATAAAAATCAAATAATGTAAACACTCATACAAATATATAAATATTATGCATACAATGGTAATAATATATATTTAAAAAGTTAAATATTACATAACACAATACTAAGATATATAAAAAAATTGAAAATAATTAAATATTTAAGAATTATAATTACTCTCCACGTGTCTTTATGTCTTTATATTTTAAGTGTTATAAATTTTTTAATTATTTTTAACACTATCAAGTATACGATTAAAATAAAAAACATGAGATACAAATATAAAATTACAACACAAACAAATATGAAATCACTATATAATATATAAATAAAAAACAAAAACATGCGATACAAATATAAAATCACAACACATGAAAATATAAAATTATTATACAATAATATAATATAAAAAAAACATATACGAATGAAGAGGGAAACTTACTTGTGTTTTAACTCAATTTTAATAAAAGAAAAAAATAAGTTTTAAAAGTAGGAGATTGTGAGGGAAAAAAAAGTAAAAGAAATACTTGTGTGTAGAAGAAAGAAGAAGACAAAAAAAGTGTAGAAATGAAATACTAATTGATTTTTAATTATACAACTCCTTATTTTCTCTTGTTTTTTAATCTTCAGTAATTTTTAAAACAAAAAAAAAATAAAGGTTAAATTTGCAATACATCCTGCAATTTAAGCGAGATTTAATTTACTTTTGTAAAAAAAAAATTAAATCCACCCTTTAAATGTTAAGATTATGAGTCTTTTACTCTTAATATATAAATTATTTCTACTAATGTGAGCAAATTTTCATTTACCACTATTAAATTCAGAGTTTAAATTATATATTTATGAGATAAAACAAAAAAAAAATCTTTATATTTTAGAAGAGAATTCAAAAACAAATATATTATTGAAAATAAAACGAAATTCATTTACAAGAAATATATTATATTTAACTAAAAAATTAGTAAAGTAAAATTAATTGTCAGATTTATGTTCTCTACCATTAATTGTTAGATTTTTTTTACATGAGAACTGATATTTAGAGTCATTGGAAACAAGTTAAAGAAAACTAATAATATTGTGTTATTTTATTTCTGTAGTACAGAAGAGACTATATATTATTATTTTAATATAGAATCACTAGATGGAAAATAAATAAGAGTATTGTAACATGGATGAGATCTGATATGGTGGCATTTTTTCAAAGCTTATCTTCAGCAGCCCTTAATAATTTTACGGTTAAATATATTTTTGTATTTTTAAATATTATCAATTTTGTTTTTAGTTTTTTTAAATATTTTTTTTAAAGAATAATCTTCTTAAAGTTTTCCGTTTATATTTTTAATCCCACCTGTCAATGTCTGTTAACAAAAGTTGTTGTGACATGACACGTGGTAGTGTCAGTTGTCAAAGATGCTGACATAGTATGTCACGTGACTAAAACAAAGAACATAATTGAGGAAAAGAATCTCTAAATTTGATATAATTTGCTTGAAATCAACCGAGAAGCCATACATAACTATCAAATCCAGAAAATAATATATGATTAAACATTACTGAATAATATTAATTAATTACAAAAAAACCATACATGAACTTTATTTATTAATAAGTGATATTAATTAACTATCAAAATTCAATTGGCATAACAGACTAATTATCAAAAGCTAACTCATTTTAACAAACTAAAACTCGAAAACAGAAACATCTAAAACAAACTATGAGTTAGTTGAGAACATTAACACCAAGCTGACAGGTAAATCAAATGAGTTAGGTTAATTATCAGTTATTTCTACTTCAATATGACATATAGGATTGGAAATTGGTTATAAATGTAGAGTACTATCTGGAACTATCATTATATCTTGTACATATTATATTATTGGCTGTATATTATGTCATTGAGGTAAATAAAAACTAAGAGACTCTTTGCTTTGTTAGGTTATACGACATGAATAAATTAATATTCCACAATAATAGAACATGTCTGAATATTTCAAAATAAAAATTGATTGAAAAATATTATAACAAGTTTTAAACTCGTTTGCTTTCTAGTACTTCACTGTGTCTTAGGCATGATCATCTCAATTCATTAAAAATGTGAACACCCATCTAATTAGACAAGCTTGAGTATAATTATAATGCATATCCCGGCAGCAACAACCTTCACGTCAGGAGATACTTTGCAGTAAACACTGAATAAACAGCATCCTTCATAGGTGGATTAATTGAAAATTTTATGTACATGTTCTAGTTATAAGAAGTCTCATAAAAACAAATACATCATCTTCCTGTCTTTATCTACATTGTCTTAATGTACATGATCCAGTATTGTTTTAATATATACATTGCTTTTACATATCTACTTAGTGGATCATATGAATATGATCCAGTATTATTTTGATATACAACAACCTCCTTTCATGCAACAATTCTATAATGGTGCATCACAACATGATTTCAATGGTCCTCTAATTGTAATTCTTGTAGTTATAAGTGTGTTGGATATAATTGTTGTAATGATTCAAATACAATTCTTAGGAAGAAGAATCATGAGTTATGGACAATATGATAAGTTTTCTAGTTATAGAATTTGCTATAAATGAACTACGACTTTAGCTACGGATTTTTATGGGTTCAAGTATGTTCCTAGCCTTAGCCACATGACATATCACGTCAGCATCAACTTCTGTTAACGGATGTTGACAGGAGAGATAAAAAATATAGACGAAAAACTTTAAAAGGACCACTCTTTGAAAAAAATATTTTGAAGGACTAAAAACGAAATTAATAATATTTAAAGAGACCAAAAACATATTAAACTCATAATTTTATTTTATAGTTTCGAAATCACCACTATTGTGATTGTGCCTTATATAAATATATAATAAATATGTAATATTAGTAGTTTGAGATGGGAATATTTTTTTATCATATTTTTTAATATTATATTTTATGGAGTAAAATTCATATAGATCCGATCACAATATGTAAAATCCAATTCTAAAACAAAAGATTCACATGTATTTCACGGAATAAATAATGAGTATTAAAGAGCGTTGTTTTAAATCTTTAGAGTTTTTGTGTAGTTGAAGTGTGGCAAATTAAATGAGTCATATTTTATTATTATTTAACTTTGTTAAATATTATATGAGATTTTTTTATTTATTATTTAAATGTATTAAATTCTTATTAATGTTTAACTTTGTTAAATATCTTATGAGATTTTTTTAATTACTATTCAAATGTATTAAATTTTAGCAAGGTTGAATAACTCGGCTTGCATGCTTTCAAAAACAATTATAATATTAAAAAAATATAATAATAATAATAATAATTATTATTATTATTATTATTATTATTATTATTATTATTATTATTATTATTATTATTATTATTATTATTATTATTATTATTATTATTATTATTATTATTATTATTATTATTATTATTATTTTATTTTGTGTGTGTAATGAGTTGTCTTTCATCCTAGGGATGAGGTATATATAGAAGTTTATGGACATAGATGTAAGGAATTCCTAGAGAGTGTTAAGTGATCCTTTTTGACTTGAGAAGTTCTTGATTACCTACTTCTTAATGAGTTATGGGTATGATTTTGCACATGTATTTATGAACTTGGTAAATATTAGTGTCAATGATTCACTTTAGGGAGTGTTTGTCGATAAATTAGTAAGTGTATGAATCTTCTAATATAGTAATATCAAAATATTCTAGAATGTCGATCTCAAAGACTGCATAATGTTATAGGGTTTGTATTTTAATTTAGTTGAACAAAAATGTATTTGAGGGGTTTGAGATTGGTTGTTTGCAAAAGATCGAATTAAAATAAATTTAACAAAGTAGAAAATAATATGAGCAAAATATGCTAATAAAGAGAGTTTGAACTTGACCTCGTTTGAGATCGTAAATTGTCCTTGTAACAACTTGCTTTATTCATACAAATTATTGGTTCTTAAGTGTATTTATCCATAAGTCCTTAGTGAATACACTTTTAACTATTCAAATCAATTTTTATGGCCATAATAAATTCTAAATGAACTCAAACATGTAATTATCAAGAAAAAGTAGTTTCTAGAGGATATCCCTAATCCTAGGTGATATCTAATCTAGAATATTTCAATCAAGTATTACTAGTGAAAATTCTTTCTAATATATAATCGTAAATCAATTGTCAATTTGTTAGAAAGAGAAAAGCATTAAGCACAGAAATAAATAAATCAT